TAGAATACTGATTGTGATTATAAGGAAATAATCAAATATGTTATATTTATGTCATGAATTTGAAACTCTTTACCGCTTCGAGATTTAGTTGATAAATTATTTAAATATAGCAATTTATTAAAAATTGTCGCGGATAAACAATTTCTTCGTTGTGTAATTATTGACCAAGCTTTGGAAAATATTCATTTGACTGATTCTGACAGCTACAGAGAAAAGGAACTTTTGTGTTAAAACATCAATTACGGAAGGTAGATCTATTTTCTTTTTATGTTTGAAATGAATTTCTCCTGAGGTTTATATAACAAAGGAGTCACATTTTGTAATAAAAAAAATTAGTCATAAAATGCATATCAGCTACTTTTGATAAATAATTAGATTTCACCATCGAGATTTGTAGAATCTAATAATTATCTTCTTTTTATTTTTAAACTCTGGATTGAATTATTATAGAGGCCTGGTGTATATGCTCGTTAATTCATTAATTTTGGACTGAAAATTATTCGAAGAATTTTGAACTTTTGTGACACTTTTTATTTAGTATACTACTGTATATAAGTATACATATAACTAAATTACCTACAGTAACTGAGCGAAGAATACTGTAATTTGTGATTGATTTAGGTGGGTTAGGTAATTAATAAAGAATTGTAAGTAAAAATACGAATTTTTAAAGATATTATAGTCTATTTGTATTTATTTTATAGGTAAAAGTCGTTTTCTGATGCCAGTTAACTACAGATTTCATAAAAATAAACGGAGGCACAAAATTGAATTAAGAAATGATTTATTAATTTATATAGTTTTTTTATAATAATGTTCTTTTAATTATGGAAAATAACATCCATTAAATGTCGGTTTATATAGGATTCTGAATTTTAATTTGTTAATAATAGTATAGCTGAAAGAATTAAATATGGATGAAAAATATTTTCAGCAATAAGGTGTTACAGTCCACATATGTCTTGAAACCATGATAATTTTAATCGAACTTTATTCAAATCAATTCCAAAATTTCAAATCTTGGAAACAATTCATAGAGGTGATCCTTAAATTTTCTGTGAAATGTAAAATTTTACGATAATGTCTTGCAAATTTTTAGGATAACAGCAGTTTATAATAAACAAATCGAAAAAATTTTGCAAATAGCACCGCCAGAGGAACATCTTATATGTATAAAATATGAAGTTTTATCCGAGTCGATTTATGCAGTGCAAAGTGACCGCTTGATACATCAATAAGCTCGGTACGTTAACAAGAAACAGATTTAAAAATTTTTTCAAATGGTATCACCAGATAAATATTTTCTACATAATTCAAAAAGCTTTCTCTGGACTGATCCATCAGTTCTAAGATAATCGCTAAATATAACGTAAACTAATAAGTATTTTTACAATAATCAATGTCAAAGTAAACAAATAAAGAAACTGCGATAAACTATGTTATTATGGTAACATTTATAGTTAGAGAGGACAATTGTTTTCACTTTCGATGGTTGTCTTACCTGTCATGTACATTTTACGATTCTGTTATTAGGTAACAGTATTCTGTTATTCCGTTACAATAAATTATTAAATTTATATATTATAAACCCTACATGACTTTCTTACTTTTCTTTTAACGTTTTCCTTAAGGGGTAACACCACTCTAGAGCCCGAAAAAGAGGCCTAACTTTGACAATTTATTTTGGAAGAACGACAAACGGAAAAGAATTTCTTTTCAGAGGGTTTCTTTAACACATATTGAACTACGACAAAATAATTTTTTATTGTCATTTTCGTACAAAATAGAGGCGACAGAGCCGATCGGCGGAAACAGCTTTTGTGAAAAGACTCCCACGGGAGGACGGATTTCTCGTTATGTATGAGTCGTGGGATAAAAAATAAAAAAAATTTAGAATCTGTATACCATTGGCTTTGGAAGTGCGTAGGGGTTTTTGATTAATCAATTTTTGTGGAAGTTACGCGTTTTTTAGGAAATGAATCGATTTTTTGCATGAAAAATGAGCACTAAATTGTTTATAAAAAAAAAAGTTTACATTCAATCAAAAAACAGCTACGTACTTCCAAACACAATATTGTTGTGAAGCTACTGTAAAAATTTCAATTCGATCCATGCAATAGTCACCGAGAAATCCGTCCTCCTAGTATGAAAAAACTAATTTTGAGAAAAACGCGTTTGAAGTTTTCTGAATATTTTAATCCTTAAATTCTCTGTTCACCGCTAATCTGCAATGCCTGTACCATACATTTGGCTATCCAGATCAGTGTTTGCCACCTTCTCCAACTTTCTGGATACTTCTGTTTGTTTTGTAGGTAACAAGTAAACTTATTATTTTAAATGATAACAATAATATTGTTATGATATGACACATCCTCCATGCGTCACAACCGCCCTATCAACCTAAGCGTCATAGTTTGTATTTCGAAGGACATAAAAACTCCGGACATTTCTCCAAAAGAGTTCAGTTACCCTGAGTTTGTCCATCTTTACCACAATGCTCTGTACGTGATCCCGGACCTTTTGAATAAGCCTTGAAAGTAGTAATTTTGGTAGTGTTTGATTACGTCTCCTTGCTGCGGCTTAACAATACGAAAGCGATGAATTGCAGCATACCGCGCGAGTACTCAGTGCGCGCTCTGAGGCGCTGCGGCAAAATTGATAATTGAACCATTTAAAATTTGTTTTCCACTATAAATCAAACGGCATTCTGTTCTCAAGACCCTAAAGTATTGTTTTAGCAAAAAAAAATCGACTTTTTGAAAATCCTAGAGTGGTGTTACCCTTTAATATAAATATTTTTTCTATTATATATTTTGATTAGATTCTTAGTTTTTAAAATAAATTGAGAAATATTATCAAAGGTTTAATCATATTGAAATGTGTAAGAATAGAATCTATATGTAAGAATGCGCATTATTTGTTTATTCTCTTATTTGCATTGCGATCAAGTACCGTGCAGTTCACACAATGTCCCTGTACGATAAACAAGGCTTCTACATATTATAATACTTATGTTAACGTTGAATACATACCTACATATCTAATTAAGTATGTATAAGTCAAGTATTTTTTTATTTCTATTCATTGCGCTTTAACACTGTCAAAATGTTTAGAATTCAATAAGAATTTATGTAACTTTATGCGAAATAATTCACAGAATAATTTGCCACCAAAAAGGAACAAAATAACTACTATTATAAATCTTTAAAACATCTCTTCCAAAGTTAGAAAATTTCGTTCCAAAGTAATGAGCATTATAAAAAGTAGTTTATAAATTCGTATTTAGTACATAAAAATTTATAAGAATTACATTTTGAAGATTATACAATCAAAATCATTAGCGATTCACAATTGTGTAAATGTATGATTGTAAGTGACTGTCTAGTTTCTTACTTTTCGTAACAATTAATCATTTTAAGATAAATATTTGATAAAACTTTCTTTCTCTTTACATAAAAATAAAGAATAACAGTGATATGACATTTTACAATAAATTACGTTCATGCAATTCAATATTTAGCCAAAATTAGGAAGACAAAGCAATGTAAAATTTTCAGTAATTGCCATTATACGTTCATGAATGAACTGATACCCCATTATTTTTATTATATTGTCCTTTTGTTCAAATATATCAGTTGATTACAGTGATGAAGAAAGTATAATCAAATACGATATTATTTATGTTATTCTATACGTAAAAATTGTAAAGAAAGTAACTTCAAAAAAACTGTGTTGAGAATATCCACTAATATCTAACAATCTAATACCTATTTCTTAATCTCCCAAGCGCACTTTTTTTAACATTTGCCATATAAGTAAGGTCACTTTAGTCATAAACATTTAGCTGTTAGCTCTATAATATAATGAATATTTTAGCTACAATTAACTGCTGAAAATTAAGATATACAATCAATTAACATGAAAATTAATACAGAAATTATCTCACTTTTTCCACAATCCATTTACTCGTACTGATCTAGAATAACTATTTCATTACATTAACTTTTAATCTTCTCCTCTACAAATGATGCATTACATAAAAAAATGATATTAGATTTAAACTTTTATGCTCTATCGAAATGATTAAAAATTGATTTCTTTAAGTTACTCTAGAAAGTATGTCTTATTACTTTGAGAAGTTAATATCCAAGTAAAAAACTTTTAGATAGGGTAAGTATGCAAATTTTAAGAAATTTGGTCACTCTTCTGCAAGTTCTTTTAATACTAATACTTTGTACACATTAAAATCACGTTTCTGTCCTTAACTGAAATGATCACATAAAAAATGTCATTTTATCAGAACTTGTTAAAATTCAATTAGTAAGTAAAATGTTATGATTAAAAAATATGTTTGTAAGATTACGCAGAAAAGTAAAAATTCTTTTTCATATACTTACACTTAACAATTTTCGAGCTTTTTTTTTGTTAACATAGAATTTGACATTAAATGATCTTAATGTAAAAAATAAACTTTACAAACTTTGTTATATGATCAAAATACAACCAGATAAGTTCATATGATTGATGTACTCGTAAATAACCCGAAATGACAAAATTTATACAAGACAGTAACATTACACACGCACTTTCATATAATTAACGAGTAACATTTTTTTATAGAACTGTTATTTAATTATAATAACATATATGTCACAAATTTCAAAAAATGTAATAAAATTCTTTAAAATACATAATTATAAAATTATATATGATCATGTACATTTTACTTTTCTCTATGCATCTTGATTATTTTACTTCGTTAAATTATGTGTGATTTAGATGAGATTATTTGTACATGAATAAATTTACAATACTATTATACAAAATTCGATATATATGACATTTTAAATAACAAGAAACTAAAACTAACACGTCATGAACTATGAATCTTCAGTACATTTTAATTCTAATTTAATAAATTTGTGTTCATGTAATATTGAAGATATAATTAATTTCAATAATATGAATTCAGTAATATGAAGAATAGTTATAAAATGCAATATTGCACCAAATAATTTATTTCAATTTTCATTTAAACTGAATTTCTGTATACTAGTTATAATACATGTTCAGTTGGATCTATAATTCGTGGTTGATTGTTTAAATTTTCAATTGGAATTTTTTCTTCATTAATTACAGCTTTTACATCTTTATAATTTAATGTTTCATATTTAAGTAAAGCATCTGCTAATCTTTTAAGTTCTTTTGCATGTTTTTGTAATATTGTTTTTGCACGATCATACGATTCCTAAAATATAAAAAACTTGAAATACGAAGTTTTACAAACTATATAAAATTTATAAGATACTGTGAAACGAATTACCTGAAGTAATCGCTTTACTTCATTATCAACGAGATCATTTGTAGCAGGACCGGGTTGGTATCCATCGTTTTGACCCATTCGTACACTGAAACCAACTTTTTCAGACATGCCGTATAAGTTTACCATCTCTTTAGCAATTTCAGTTGCCGCCTGAAAGGTAATTATCAATATTATTTTATATTTTGAAAATAAAGTAACTATTAACACATTATTATTATCATAATCATAGTTCTTATTATGTTATTTATAAATAGAAAAATATTCTTGTTTACTACAAAAAATTCATTAAGCTGGAATTTAGTTGTCAATTACATTTCAATTACTATGTTAATTACAATAATAAAATATTATATATTTTAATATGTAAACAAATTAAGGAAACCTTAAAATCACTCAATGCTCCTGATGTTACATTATCTGTTCCAAAAATTAATTCTTCTGCAGCACGACCACCCATTGCACTATCCATTCGAGCTAATAATTGAGATTTTGTTACATGATGTTCATCTTTGGCAGGTAGAAATGCTGTCTGAAAAAAATATATAAAGTGTATTAAAAACAAAAATGAAACACACAAAAAATAGTATGTTCTAAAGGGTTATTATAAATTTAACATAAGTTATATATATGTAATTAACTATCTCGTAATATTCTCATTGTTGTCACTGATTTATAAAGCTTACATGTCCTAAAGTACGTCCATGTGGCATAATGGTAATTTTATGGATTGCTGGTGCACCTTTAGTGTAATATGCAACCAATGCATGCCCTGCTTCATGATATGCTGTAAGGCGATTAACTTCAGTATCACTAATTCTTAACTTCCTTTCTGGACCCATGATTAATTTGTCTCTGGCATATTCTAAGTGTTTCATTGTTACATATTTTGCATCATTTATAGCAGCCTTTAAAGCAGCTTGATTTACCTTTCAAAATAATATGAAAAATAATTAATTTTAATATTTGACTCACAAAATGAAATATCTAAACAAGATAGACTTAATAAGATGATACCATATTCTCTATATCAGCTCCAGTAAATCCTACAGTACATTTCGCTAAATAATCTGGGTCCACTTCTCGTGTTGATATTCTCGACAGATATAAATTAAAAATTTCTTTTCGACTCAAGAAATCCGGTATATCAACAATAACTTCAACATCAAAACGACCCGGTCGCAATAATGCTTTATCTAAATCATCACGTCTATTTGTTGCACCTAATACTATTACTCCCTCATTCTGAAGGAATCTAAAATTATAAAAAAGAAAAATTAGTATCTAAACTAGCAAAAACTTTAGCGGTTATATAAAAACAAAGGACATTAGTAAAATATAACTACATTAATTATATTTAGTTACAGTTATCTCTTCTTAGTTATAATTTTGACTTTAATTACGAAATGATCAACATAACTTATAAATGTATTTCTTGTTGAATAAGGTTATGCATTTTTATACTGTACATTAATTTGTATTACGTGATTTATAAAATTGTAAATTCAAATTATGTATAAAAGTTAGCTATACAAAGTAAGGCATATAAAGTATTGCAATCTATTATGCCTGGAAAAACTATTTAGAAACAATGTGATAATTTACAATTTGTAGTATTTTTACAATACTAAATGTTCAAAAAATTGTAATAAAATAAAAAAATAAAAGTCATTGTTTACCCGTCCATTTCAGTAAGCAATTGATTTACTGTTTGATTTGCATATGGATGAAGCGCAGAATTTGTCCGTTTTGCACCAACCGAATCAATTTCATCTATAAATATAACAGCAGGTGCTATTTCTTTTGCTGCTTCTGGAAAAATGAACACTGCATAAATAAATTCCTCAATCTTTTTTATAGATTTTTATTTGCATCGTCTATAACAATATATAATACCTATGGTTTCATGGAAATTTTCATAAAGTCATATACAAATGTAAATAGCATGAAGATTAATATAGATTATTAATAAAATTATATTGTAAAGTTTCATTTAACATATATTGCAAACCTACTAATTTTTACATTATACTTAGTATTTAATACAGTAAATAAAAATAAAAGAAAAGTAATACAATACGTTATTATTATGATCATAAATAGAAATGACATCAGCTGTTGACGTATTAAAAACAAAAAGATAATTCTAAATAATAAAGTTATTAATTATAGCAGACAGAATATGTTATAATCATTGCATTCTAAATTCAAAGTATCATCTATAATGTCCAAATGTTCAAATAATAGTAATTATAATGAATCAAACTATATTTTTAATACACAAAAATAAATGAATTTGATTACACCCCTGAATACAACTAAATTTTCATAATTTTGGATACTTATAATACTTATATTATTTTTTATAGCAGTTGTTTCATTACTTACTAAATAAATCTCTCATTCTACGAGCACCTTGTCCTACTAAAATCTCATCAAATTCCGGTCCTGCTGCTTGGAAAAATGGCACACCAGCTTCACCGGCTACTGCTCGAGCTAATAGTGTTTTCCCTGTTCCTGGTGGTCCTACTAATAATACACCTTTGGGTAATTTTGCACCAAGCACAGAAAATTTTTCTGGATTTTTCAAAAATTCAACTATATCTCTTAATTCTTGTTTAGCTTCTGCAACCTAACCAATACATAAGCAAATGAATACAACTTTACATTTTTAACTTGATATTTACAACTTTCAGATATTTATGTATAATGTATATATATTATAATAATATACTTACTCCTTTAACATCATTAAAAGTTACGTCTGTTGTTTCTGGTCTAAATCTACCACCATCCATTGAAAACCGTAACCCCCTTCCTACAATATAAACTATAATATTCCAAATATGAAAATTAATATTTTATTACATAATGTTTTTAAAGTTATAGAAAAATTATCAATGTCTAGTAATATAATTTTTCATTAATTTTTAGATTATAACTTTATGTGTACTAATTATAATTACTGCTAATATTAATTTTAGAAATTTTATCTCTCAGCTTTATTTTAAGATAAGTTTTTGATTGAATGTGCTCATGGCACATATATTATTTTGGAAAGTAGGTTTTACTTTACATTTTTTGCTAATGATTTAATTTTAAAGTATTAATGTGCACCTAATTAAAGTAAATTAATAATGGAGAATAAATATATTGTATGATTTTATGTAAAAGGCTAAACTTATTCACAAAATAATGTACACATAATAAAGACGCTACAGAGAAATGTACATATTATCATTTCTAATTACTAATATTTCAATATTTTTTTGCTGTACTTGACTAAGAATCCATTATTAGGAATGAATTAAGAAATTATGAGAAATTATTTTATTACATAAGCTTTTTATCAAGCAGAGTTTAATAATCTATGAAGTTTACATACCTCCATACCAAAGTATTACTAATACAGTTCCTCCGACCAATATAGATATTACTTTGTTCCATCCAGTGTTTGTTCGTATTTGTCTATGAATTCCTGCTTCATATCCTTCTAAAAAAGCATCTATGATTTTTTTACTTTCTGGTTTTTCAGCACTATTGCGCAAAGGCTTAGATAGAACGGAATCTTTTTCTTTTAGCATATATGCCAATCCTATATGCTATGAAATAAAAAATGCATTTGTAAATCATTTAAAACATAATTGGTATAGTGAAATCTTGATCGATTGTTCTAAGAAAAATCATTTTTATGTATCTATTGCTTATTTATCTAGTTCTAATACTCATTTATTATTAGTTCTAATCCTATTATACATCTTAACCTTTTCAAAAAACAACATAGATCAAGATTCCATTATATAAATAAAAAATCATCTTACTGCGTCTGATACATCACCCAACCATTTCCTAAGCCATTCTACAAGTGGTGTCTTTTTTTTAAGGTCCATATTTATACTACGTCTTGTTTTAAAACCACGAATTTGTACATGATAATTAAAAGGATTTTTAACACATAAAGTACATAACGTTTGGTGATGTTTCTTTGATGATAAATACATAGTAGGCAAAATTTGTTCTGTAAATTGTGTACAAAGAACTTTTTCTTTATTTTCATTGAAATTAAATCCTGATATATAAGATATTTTCCACTTATTTTCTTTTTCTAAATGTCTTTTGAAATTTTTCATAGAAGATCGGTCAAATATTACAAAAACATTATTCGTTTTCATATCAAACATTGTAATTATATCATATATGTTTAATTTCTTCATTAACATATCCACATAATTTTTTGTAGCCTAAAATAAAATAGAAATTTAATACATTATTGCTATAATTTTATGTAGCAAAAAAATATTCCTTACTTCTGACAAGCTATTAGCCAAATCATCCTGGGTTTTTTTGAAGTCATTTTGTCTTCTAATTTTAACCGAATATGGTGTAGATTTTGAATTAAATATTGAAGTTAACTGTGTCAGATGATATAACATCTAAAAATGATAAATGGTAATTATCTTCTGTGATAAAAATTATGTAATTTTTTTAACTTAAAATAAAAATATGTAACAAGTAAACTAATATTACATTTTAAAACATTAATTTTCAATGCATATTCACAAGAATTACAAAACAATAATATGAAATTGACTAGCTTACAAAATTATAATATGAAGAGGTTATGTTACAGAAAATGTACAAATCTTGCTAAATAAAGGAAAACAAGCATTAACTTCATCTGTATATTTCAAATAAATATAAAAAGCTATAATGTATTTGTTAAATTTGAAAACATTTTAATTGTAATTATACGCATGTACAAATTAATAATACGTACCTGACTAGGAGGTTGAAAAGAAAACATTGAAAAGTTTTGTTTAACACTTGTAGCAAAATAGATCAAAATAATACTGGTTAAACAAAATTGAATTTAGCTATTTACAATTTTTTATTGCATATTTGAACAGAACTAAATTACATGACAGCAACGTCTTTCATAAGAAATACAATTTTACAACCAGTGACTACAGATATAACTACTCAATGACGGAAATACCATTGTGTATATAAACTTCCGAACATTTCAAATCAATAAAAATATTTAAAAACGAATATGGTATCATTACAAAATTTATAAAATATATATTTCTTCAATTTTTAAATAATTTCATACATAAGACTCAATTCGATTATACAATTAGATTATTAACTAATGGGTATACATTAAAAAAAAACTGTTTCATGACATATTTATATGTGCTATAATTTATTTATTTGCAAGTAAAATCAAAGAATATAAATGAAATCTGTTTATTTTTTATTTTAAAATAAGTGCTACTTTTTCAGTATTTTAGACTATATTTACACCATATAAAGAAGCGTAAAAAACAGTTTTAAAAATTTGTGTCTATCTATTTATTCTGGTTTAATTTAAAAAGTAATTACACCAATTATAAAATTTGCACAGTTTGTAGATGACATTCTTAGTCACGATACGCTTCATTTCATTCGAAGGTTATTTATCTTGTAAACACATTATTGCGTATGACAATACATGAAAATACATCAAATTTTTTATATATGTATTCAAGTAACTTTGTTCAGTGAGAGAAACGTATTACTGGATACACTAGTTTTCGCTTATTACTGCGCAAGTTTGTTCTGATTGGTTCTACATCTACGTAACAAGAATAACGCCAAAGAGTAGGGATATAACAAGAGGCGGTACCTTTGATGTTTGAAAAATATTGTCCCTTTAAATTGGTTGTGCAAACAAGTGGGAAATTTAAATCAAATGAATCTAATTTCATGTCAACATTTAATAACTAGGAATCCATTTGTCGTAAATTTTCTCTATATTGCTAATATTGATTTTCGAAGTATTTACATCAATTTTATAATATTGAAAAATTGAAGAAGAAAGACATATTAAAATGATTATTCTGCACAATATATTTTAAGCATATATATTACAAAAATAATTGTTACAAATAACTTACAAGGAAATGACAAAGTATATAATACAACAAAATACAGATAAATGTGTTACAGAGAAGTGACAAAATATTTATTATAAATAAATTATTCATGAATGTGTAAGTTTAAACTATTCCTTTTCGACCTCTATACTTGCACACTATGCATATGCCCATTTCAAAATACATACATTCGAAATTGTCCCCTTACCCTCGATTCATTTGGCTTGGGCATTAAAAGTATGTAATTCTATTTTCTATCTCTTTCTAAAATATAGTTTCCTTGTTAAGTGTCGCCTCTTGTATCTCTACGCTTTGACTTAGAGAACAATTATAATAACTAATTTAGCTTTTGACGAACATTTTGAAAATATGTTTCATACGTTTGAATTTAAAGTGTCTCCTAACCATTGACTTTTTTGTAATATTAATATTACAATTCTATTTTAACAGTTGTTTTCACGTCATTGTTTAATAGGCTGAATCAGTTCACATGATTTTTCAAAATTTACTGTACATGAGCTACATTTGAAAATATATTTTCTAGCGAGGGAATAATTTTTTTGCTTCGTATACTTTTTTGTATTTTTTTCATTATACATAATATATGCTTAGTAATTATGTACTACAAAGAAATCACTTCTAATAATTTCGATTTTGATATATGTTGTTAAGAATATGATTCTGAGTAAGTTTTCCTAATACTTTACTCGATGATCTCTTACAATTTCTGAGATATTCGAAAAAAATGTTTCGAAATGTTAAGGTTAGTATTTTCGTTGTATTGTAATGTTATTTTTACAAAATGCTAATTTTTTCTAAACAATACAATCTTGTTATTGTCTATTTTTAATATTAATAAAAAATTAGTTGAATAGGGGCGTATTACAAAATCGCATGTGTAGCTCGCTTGCTCCGCTCGCTCGAAAAAAGGATGGAATCCATGTCAATATCTGTCACATATGCGAACAAAATCAATGAACAAATGTGAAAAAAAAATTTTGTACTAAAATTTGGGTCCCTTTCGCTTACGAGTATTATTTACGTGTCTGACTGACATTGATTTCGACTAGATTTTTTTCTTAAATTAGTCAGTCATGTGCTCAGTAACATGGTCCAAGTCATCGGCGTTTTGTGTACCCTGTACTTATACATAGGTACGTAATTACCTTATATTTTATGATACACACTTTTAAAATTATACTGTATTTACTATTCTTGTATATGACCATGAAGTAAAAAGGAAATCTAGAGGGGATACTAACTAAATGCGTGATTTGATGTGCCTTTCTTGCTGAATAAAGAATACTTCTTACATATATATATTATACATATGTATATGTATGTATACAGTAGCGTCTGCTAATAGATCTCAATATCATATAATTCAGATAAATTTTATGGTTTATATATTTTTACGAATATATAAAAAATGAAGAGTTCAACTACTAGAGGTATAGAAAAAAGTAAAATTTTACATACTTTTTTCTTGTCCTAAAAGGAAAAAGCGGGCGATTTGGTTGTGAAACCTTTCCCGTTGCGTGAATATCTATTTCTGTCACAAACTGTTCTAACATTAAATGGCATAAATGCTTCATATATGTATAGAAGCTGCATGTCCAAATTTGGAACAATTTGCTAAATTTGAAGATATAAGCTCAAATATAGGTCAACATGTACAGATAGATATACGCTCAAATTCATTTGTATACAGGGTGTTACCTGTAACGCTACTCACGATTTTTCTCCCACTTGCAGCCACCTTACGAAAAAAAGTTTAGAATAAAATTTGCAGGGTATGAAGTGCACAATAGATATTAGTAAAGCAAATTTTGAAAACAGTTTGTTCTCTTGGCAAAGTCAAGGTCACCTTGGGTTTTTTAAATAGGAACATACAATTTTTTTTATTTATAGCTTTAGAGGACATCGAGACGAATTCAAAACATATATTACATTATATTTTTATTAACATATTACTCGATTACAGACTTGTAAGTTAACGTTATATTTCATCTGCATCCAAGTTCGGGAATGTTACAATACAGTAAATGATTTACGTAATTTATTAGATAGCCAATAAGAAAGCCAATTGCAAACTATATTACTCTTCCTACTTGCACTATTTACGTAACTTATTGTCAAAATAACATCAACTTAGTGTTTATAGAAATTCAGTCAAAAATCGTGTTTACGGATCACACCAATCATGTCATCTGCCTTGTTAACAAACCAGAACGCACGCCATTCATCAAAGGGCAATAAATTCTTCCCTAAAGAAGTTTACTTCCTCTGACCTAAACTGTGCAGCCCCTGCAGTGTACAGTATCTACAAAATCTAAGTCTACTCGACAGGCCAATTCATTAGAGCTCAACCATTCAGTAGCCTTGCAGTGTGCCCCACTGCCGAGATCCATTGAAGGACTCAAATCACTCAAGTGCTTGCGTCACCTACATTTATCACCAACACTTATGTGTTAGAAATAATTTTCAAATAGAAACTAAAAGGCAGAGATTAATATCTTTTTTATGTACTGGGGTAAATGTTGAGAGGTTTAATTCAGTCCTCTTACGAAAAGGTATCCTCCCCTCCCCCACTTCGTGGCCAGATCCCTTAGGAATACTGCTCCTATTCATTTGAGCAATGCAACGTCGAATTACGAACCTTCTCCACGTTCTCACAAACTAACATGCAAACAGTCCTGCGACATCCTCACGCAGTCTATCCCTATCATTGTTCCGAATTGCTAGAAATAACATTAGCTTACTATTTATGGGTATCCTGTCAAACCCAAGAACGTTTCAGTCTTACAATATTAAACGGATAATTAAGACCACATGAACGTCTCCACAACTTAACGTTCTTAACTATTGTCAATAGCCTTCTAACAGGCCAAAAAGCACATCATTCTAATGCCCATATATCTTTTCTTAAAGAAGTTTATTTCCTTGATTCTAAACTGTGCACCCCTGCGGTGTGCAGTGTTTACGCAATCCTTATCTACCCGGCGGGCCAATGCACTCGGACTCGATCATTCAACAGTCTCGCAGTGTGCCCCATTACCAAATTCTTTTGAAGGACCCAAATCACTCAAGTGTTTGGGTCACCTTATTAACAAACGTTGGAGTGAGAGCTAAAGGTCTTGCGATCTCATTCGCTGAACCATCTCACCAATCACTATTTTTTCCAAATTACAAACTGTCCTGATTGGTCCTTTATGGTGACGCCTTTACGACCTGACCTTACTCCATTCCTTTCTTGTCTGGAAGTTTTGAGGCAACTCGCTCAGTCTTGATACCGTTCTCTCCTGAATACCAAATCACTCGACTATCCATCGTCTTAGAGATTAGCATTATATCCATTTATCGCTCAACGACCATCGTCATCAAGGCAGGAGAATACATTTTGTATGTGTAAGACAAAGCTTTGCAACCTTGTTGACTTGATCTTCCATCGAAGGTCCCAGAATTGTCATACGCTCACAATCTAACTTCTTATTAAATTCATAGCTCGAGTACAAAAATGGATTTGTAGGACGAAGCCTTACAATTTTCATCGACCTAATTGACCATCATGAAGGTCCCATCACAACCAATTGCTCCTATCCGTTTTACATATCAAACACCAAAGACAATCTGTTACATAACAGTCAAATCATCATATAATATTCATCATTTTAACAAGCAACGGAGACGCATTGAAATATTCGTGGGACGAAGATTTACGACCTTCGTCTAGCTGATCAGCCCTCGTTTTTCCATGGCCCAATGATCATAAACATTTTTGATCCTTCGAGCTGAATACGAATTTACTCAGTGTACGAACTCAGTTTACAGTGCAATAAACAAGATTAAGTGTAACAATGAGTGACCATATAAGCTTTTGTATCCATGTGTATCAGGTGAATTATTAAGTGCAATAAGCTTATAACAATGTGCAAAACAACATATATTTTAGAGGATATACCAGAGGCTTGGACAGCGTGATAAGCTAATAATCAGTATAGAATTCCGCAACGACAAGGTAAGCTCGTTCAATTGTATCGCTAATTCTTTTGATATTCCCCTACACGACTCCACGATATCGAACCCAGCAGGTTCAAATCAAGTACAGTCCGTAATGTGGGGAATTAGTATTAGCATTCTGCAACGAAAACGAGGTAATATTATCAGGCAT